TGATTTCTGCCCTCTCCTCTCCCCTAATCTGCTATCCCACCTTCTGCGGGTCAGGTCTGTGGCTATGTTTCATTCTCACTCCTCTCTCCTTCAGGTGAGCTGGAGCAGCAGTTGTGCCCCGAGTACCCCAATATCGTTTTCTCCAGGGTGGTGTGCGGGGACCCTCCTGGCCCTGCGCTGCCCGGGGAGGTGAGGCAGTTTGGTCGCCAGTTCCTGGTGGAGGTGGCTGGGGGGCTGCCGGACTGCGCCATGTTCTATGTGGGAGCTGAGGGCCTGCTTCTCACCAGCTTCATGCTGACCTGGAACTGCTGCCCCTTCAGCTCCTTCAACCCTGCCGCTGGATGTGGCCGGCGCCCGAACATCAACCGGGCCCTGATGCGACGCCTCTACCTGGTGGAGCGGACCCGGGATGCGCAGGTGGTGGGCATCCTGGTGGGCACCCTCGGCGTGGCGGGCTACCTGGCTGTGCTGCAGCACCTCCGCAAGCTTCTGCACCGGGCCGGCAAGCGCAGCTACACACTGGCTGTGGGGAAGCCGAACCCTGCCAAGCTGGCCAACTTCCTGGAGGTGGACATCTTCGTCCTGGTGGCCTGTGCTCAGAACTCCCTGCTGGACTCCAGCGACTTCTACCGGCCCATTGTGACCCCCTACGAGCTGGAGCTGGCCTGTAACCCGGCCCGCGAATGGACAGGGAACTACTTCACTGACTTCCGAGACCTGCTGCCAGGTAGCAGCTGGATATCAGCTGCCCAGCACCTTCCTAGGGCATGTCCTGCCCTGCTCCCCTGCCTGGGTTGCTCTGGCTCTGTGCCAGCCGGAGGGTAGACACGAGCACCAGGCTAACGTTACCATTTCCTGGCAGGTGCCTGTGCGCACATTGAGCTCCCACCGGCCGTCCCTGCAGCAGAGGCTGTTCCTGACATCTCGCTGATCACGGGGGAGATGCGTGCTGCCCACCTCCGTGACCCCCCGACTACCCAGCTGCCCCCCAGCACTGCTCTGGCCTGCAGGGACCAGACTCGGGCCCTCGCGGAGATCAGCCCTGCTGGTTCGTGATTTGGTTTTGTGGTGGGGCTGAGCCCGGGTGCAGGGCCAGTGCCCCCTCCCTGCTCCCAGTAACAATTCCCTTTCTCTCTCCTCCCAGCCTCCTTCCTGGAGTCCCGCAGCTGGCGGGGCCTGGAGCAGCAGCTGGGGCAGACGCCCATCTCCAAGGCTGTGCATGGCCGACGAGGGATTGCCATTGCCTATGAGGAGGAGGGGCACGAGCAACCCTGATTCAGCAGCAGCTTCGGCAGGAGCAGGAGGCGTGCAGGGGCCCAGGTGTTGCCTGCCACTGGGTGTCGGACCTGTGGGGGTCTCACAAGGGTCCAGACCTGCCACCAGCTGGCCCCGCGCCGGATGCGGCCTTGGGTCAGTACTGCGGTGGGAGAGCAGGAGTTGCGTGCGTGCTCATGGCCAGGGCAGCAGCAGGGCCAGGGCGGGCACTTGGTCCAGACCCGGCCTCCGAGGGCAACCCAGTCCAGGGCAGCTTTGGCCCTACACGGAAAGGTCACAGCTTCACAACGAGCCGACAGCACCAGGACTTGGCTGACGTGGGCTACTGCCACTAACTAAAGCTGAACTGAAAAGGACTTGTGAGTCAATTGTCTTCTAGAATAAAACTTGGGCTGAGAAAGTGCGGACAGGGATGATACCAGGCACCCCAGAGTGAAAACTCAGATTGTGGTGCCTGCTCGGGGAGCGCAGCCCCACGTGTCGGCCAAAACCAGCTCCAGAGAACAGAAAACCAGAACTGGGACCCCCAGAAGTGAAAGCACATTCACGGGCTGGGGAACTAAGGCAAAGGGGAGAGTGCTCTCGGCCTGAGCAAGCCCCTCACCTGGTCTGAGGAATGGGAGAGGGGCGCACGCACCCCGTGGTGGGGATGGAGTCTGGCCCCTCTCGTGTGGGGCAGGACCGTTCTGCTCCATGAGCTGCCCCATGCGGGGCAGGAAAACACAGCGAGCAGGGGAACCGGTTTTTGTCATCCCTGCTGCAGCCAGGAGGGACAGGAGGCTTTGAGGCACCCCAATCTTGATTTTAACCCCCTCCGCTGGGCACTTCCCCAGAGGCAAGGGGCAGGCAGAGTCCAGGCACCACAATAATGACAGCCACAACATAGAAATATTCTTAATATAATTAGGTGCAGGGTCTCCCCCCTCCCAACTGCACACGCACAAATGAGCAGGGGGCGAGCCCTCCCGCCCAGCCAGCCACTGCCACAGGGGCAGCCTCCCTGCTGAGGGGCACGGGCACCCACAGGGAACTGCTGGGAAAGGGCCGGTAACCC